AATAAATTTGCATATTAACTAATAAACACTTTTCTTCAACACACCCAAATTCACAATTAGCGTGATCCTACAAAAAAAATGTATTTTTCGGAAACTTCCATTAACGTTATTGCACATGACACCAATTGAAATAAAGAAAAAAGTACATCTGATCAAAATAATGGTCACAAAAGCTAAAATGTAAGCGTTGCGATACCTGTCCGCCTTTCCAGATTTCCTGACAAATGACTTGAAATATGGCGCCACAGCATTGCTAATATAGGAATGAAGAGTTTCATAAGGCGAGCCCTCGTTTAAATTTATCACACGGATCTGTGTTGTGATCTTCTTGTCGGCATCGACAATTGCCCCTCGCTTGATGAAGGCTACACTCGTAAGCTTTGGAGCTGTGTAATGGACATCCAAATCTAGCGAATAAATTGCTCTTTCACGCTCGTTTTCTGCGCCACTCTCGGTGGACGAGGTCTCATCGTTTTCTTCTTCGTCTTTCAGTGGTGTTCGCTGAACAAGTAGACTTCTCGTTTGAGCATCAGAGACAAATTTCCTGATGTAATCGACGTGTAGGGCATCTTTGAGAGCTGTGTCGAGCTCGAGAGGTACTTCGGGGTCACCTTCGAGAAGGAGCGGTACAATTCGACGAAGATAATTTGTGAAACTCTTCACATCAACCACAGCAGCTTCTGGAGTGGTCGGGGAGCTAGATGCTCCATCCGAAGCCGCCTCCATGACGGGCAAACTAACACTGTAACTCTTTCAGCAATCGAAGATATTCGCAGTGTATTTATCACCGGTAAACTGACTTCTTTTATCTTCCACGTTGATAGAGATCACGTGATCTACGAAAAATTGTACTCACGGGTGGGGTAGGAGACAACTAACTTTTGTAGCGCAAGCCAAAGGAAAACCCAATTTGATTAGACAAAAAAAATGCAATTTCCAAGGAAAAGGAAGGAAGTAGGGGATGAAATATGTTGTGCACAAATATTACTGTTAATAAGACAAATTAACTCTTGGTGTATGCTACAGATCTGGTGTTGCATATCTAACCCTTTCACACACCCGAGATTTAAACATTAATCCTCTGAACCATTCCCCATTTGTTGCTTATGATTCACGACCTACTATTTTGATATTTAATCAAGCAATATCCTCTTATTAATAGTTTTCTTTCTTCTCAATACTTCTCTGTTCAGAATGTATGGATATTGTAAGGAGATATTGCTTGTTAATCACTCTTGGGAGGGAAAGATCAGCTGAGAGAGGTCTGAATCTGCTTCAACTGAGTCAGACTGTTAGTCAGTAAAGACAACTGAAAAGGCTGACAATTTAAAAAGTAACAAGGTAGAAGAGGGAACAATTTCTCTCCCTTGCACTCTCTCCCAACAATTCTTTTCAATCACCCACTTTAAAAATCCCCTTTATTGAAAGAGAGCTTGGAGGAGGCCTGGTATGAATTAGAAGTCCTTCTAATTTTTTTAACTAGACTAAACAAACCAAAAACGTAAAATTACTACTGGATTCATAAAACCATTTGAAGCAAAATTAATACATTTTATTCTCCATAAGAAGAGGCTCAGACATAATTGTAAAATTTATGTGATTGTGAATGGTATCACTTTTTTTTACTCTAATTAACCAAAATAGTGAAGTGAGTTTTTTAGACTGGTTAAAGAGAGTAGTAAAACGAAAACAGAATAACTGCAGATTGCTATTAGCAACAAATTGAATATTACTGTATTATCAGTTATAGAGAAATTTTCATATAAAGAGGACTTACAAGAATTTGGGAACTTTGTACAATATTTACAGAAATGTCTAATTTGATGGAGTTGTTTCAATTGAAGTATAATACACATCTTCAGACAACTTTCTCCTTATGACTTGACACGTCTCCTTTTTCCACTTTCTTCCTGTATTCCAATCAACTTTTCACTTCACAAACCACAGAATGACATGTAAGAAGTTCAATTTGATTGCACAAATGGTTATGATACATGTCTACTGGTTGGCACTTTCACAGGCATCGATCCAGTCACTGTATACATCCACTGGCTCTGAAAGATCTTCCAAACTATTAAGGAAAATCACTCTTCATGATTTATAAATCATTGGAAGTCACACTTCAAACTGGAAAAACAAATAATTTCAAAATGTAAAAACTAATCTAGTACAATCTTGGTTTAGGGGAAGATGACTGGGAAAAGATACAGAGACAAGTGCCTTCAATGAGAGGTCTCCCTTCAGAAGAGGTTGATGATCTTTTCTAGTCCCAGGACCTCAAAAACAACTCTCATTACTGTCTGCCATACTTTTCTTGTGATTAGTTAACCCTTTCACTTCCAAGATCTCAATTGTAATTTCCCTTACTGCCCTCTCTATGATTACTATAATGTTATGTTGGAGAATTTGGTATTGGATCAACCAATAATTCCCTTTTTGTTATTTTTTCTTAACTCTCATCACTTGTCTGCTTGATACTGTATTGATATTGTAAGGAGAAACTCTGTCTTGTTCACTCTTGGTAGTTTAAGGGGTTAAGCTCAAAAGAAGTTGGTATTGAATTAAACAATGACCCCTTGTTTGATATTTTCTTCTTGTTGTTACCTCTATGCATGGCAATGTTTTATGGAGAAATTAGTTTTTAGTAGCTCTTAAAATTGGAAAGTTTAATAAAAGGTTATTAGTACTTTTTCAGCCAAGGCCAAACTTGTGACCCTGAAATTAAAGTTTCAGAGAGGACAGATGCCACTGTATGCAACATTACAAGAGAGTCACAAAATGATTTTGCACATGTTTAAGGTGGGTCTCCATCCAAAGTAACATGTACATAGTATATTTACTGATCAAATTGGAAAATCCCACATGCTGCTTTCTAGAGAGCTCTGACAATAGGCTAATGCTCAAAACATCAGCTTTCAAACTCTTTACGGTAGCCAATTTATGTTATTGACCCAGTTGATAATATTAAATTACCCAGTTAAAAGTCTAGTTCTGAAGTTTGGCCAAAAGGTTGAACTTGTAACAACTAAGAGTAAGTCTAAAGAGTGGCAAGGTTGTATATTGTAACTACCAGATTCACACTCCACTACTCCTGTAAAATACTTGGCTACACTGGTTTTGTTTTACAGCTGTTAAAATAATTATGTATAACAAGGATACAAGTAATAGCTGTCTGAAAATCTTCTAAACAAACACGACAGGATATATGTCCAGTATTACGAACCCGATCCCTGATGGAAGACAGAAAAATTAATAGGAAGATTAGGGTATCTCTGTTAAAATGCCAGAGATTTTCATCTGAATTTTACAACCAGAAGTTCCAAATCCCAAAATCTACACACGAAATCTTATGGTGAAGACCTCTCTCAACACCACGGGTTGAAACAGTAAAAACTTGTTAACACACTTCACTGTCAACACGTAGAAATAATACTACAAATACCAGTAGGAGCTACTCTCTAGAAAAAAAAATTAACACAAAGCTACAAAGAGACTCGCAATCAAATGCGAACATTCCTTCAAAAGAACCCAAATTTGAGCGCAGCAATCAATGGTGATTGTACTGTTTTGTCTGGGCACCAAACTTACATTCTTACTTCGCAAGACTTCTCGTGATTACAAAAGGGACAGTTAAATTGCTTGTCCAGTGGATCCTGTCTTCTTTTAGGAGCTGGCTTTCGCTTGGATCTTCTACGACCCATTTCAACTCTCCACTCTCACAATCTAACGATCTAACTGCTTCTCCTTCTCTCTAACACGTTGTGACAACTTCGTAACCAATCCCCTCTCCAAAGGAACGCGTTTATTTCATATAAAAAAATTTTTGTGTCCCAAAACTTTTGTGAAGAGCTGCTTTCGTAAGAATGGAATGGTCCTCTTACAGAAATCTTTTCCTTGATGGAAAAGATGCGTTCCTTGATGCGTTCCAAAATTACATTGTCTCCCTGTTTCAGAAATAACTTCCCATAAAAACACTATGACAGAATGAGTTCTTCCTCGTTTGTCACCAACGAAAATGTGTGCATGAAGACCCGTGCTAGAATCTCAGGTTACATCTTTTTTTCTAACTCGACAGAAAGATGAGATACTCCAATTTCATCGTATTTATATCAAACAAATGTCTTTTACATCCTGAGCCAAAAGATATGCTACTACACGCAACATCTCTACAGGAACACATTTGACAACCGCTTCAGCATTAGTGAAACTTAAACGTTGATCATTTGACATATTTTGCATTCTCTAATCGCGTCTGTCTGAATTAATTTTTGGTAGACGCCTTAGGCATGATGATTATTAGACAGCTTAGGTCAGAGGCGACTAGCTGCTTACGCTGTAAGTGCAAGCGCTAGGGTGTCATATCGCAAAATATCAGCGTGACTGCAACAATCTTGGCGGGTTTAAGAAACAAGGTAAGTCTGAATTTAGATGTCTGCATGATATAGCCATTATTCTTTAAGAAACATCGACGATAACACATGAATGTCCAAATTAATTTTGCCGCTGATTTAAAACGATTTCTTTTTTGAGCCTTAATACATAATAATTGACATCTTAGAACAATCGTAATGAGAGCTAAAAAGCTTGAATGTCTTCGGAAAGGCTAGGAAGGGACAACATTATTAATTGAACACAAGAGTGGACTCCATTTCTGCGAATATTTAGGGGAAAAAAAGCCTAGCGGCATATCTCCAAAAGTACAAAAACTTCCTTAAACCCCTCGCGGTCTGTCACGCGACCAAACTTTTCTTTGCCATAGTCTCTGCATGTCTTTAAAAAAAACCGGCGCATAACCCTCCAACAAGCTCATATAAAATGTTTGACCAAAATATTCCTGAAAATATTCCAAATTATAACACGGTAGCGATCATCTTTGATGGATGCTCTGGCGACTGTTTGATCCATTAAGTCAGATTTATTTACTTTGGCTTTCAAAAGAAAGTTCAAGTTGAAACAAGCTTGGATCTTTTTTTTTTCGCATCACAAATCGGACCCTAAACTCTTCAACATGTGTGCTATATTTGAGTGTTCATGGAAAAGGTCGACGGACTTTCTTCAGGGCAAAGAAATGTTTGCAAGAGAACAGTAAGTGAAGCGACGCGCTGTCGTTGTATTCCGTTGAATCTTAGGGCTTCTTAACACGGATAACTTCATCAACTTCTGTGGTAAGCTAAATTCGGATAGAAATACACATGCAAACAAATCGAAGAAAGTACATTTTTGAACGGACCAGTGCATGAACTTCAACGAGGGACCAATTTGCTCGGTTTAGTGAGTTGTCTGTCTACGGTCTTCAATTCCAAGCGTGAAGCGTTCGTAAAATTAACTAAAATCGTCGAAATTGATTTAGTTGAACACCTCAGTATTACGAACAACTGAGCTACAGAGTATCTCTTATCAAAACATAAGCTCTTGGATTACTGCACTCTTTGTTTTAAGTTTTGCCTCTTCGTTGCGTTCATTGAGTTCATTGTTTTATCATTAAGTCCATGATGATTGCATTCGCCCACGCGGTAGTCTCACCCTTCATGACTTAAGCAGAGCTGTCGATTTTTTTTTTTTTTTTTTTTTTTATGTCTGAAGATCGTGAAAAAGCTGCTTAACAGACTAGAAATGATATGTCTTCATTGCGTTTATCAAGTTCCTTTCATGTTTTATCATGATCTCTATGGTAACTGTAATCGCATCCGCGGTAGTCTCAAACTTCAGAGCACATTAAATGCGTAAGCAGAGCTCTCTATTTTCTTTTTTTTTTCCCTCGATATTTGATGATTGTGATAAAGCTGCTTAACAGACGGGAAATGATATGTGCGCACCATTATGAACGATTTAATGGCGAAAATAAATGTGACTGAAAACATAAGATCTCAAAAGTTCAGAACGAGGAAGTATAAGTTTCAAACTAAGGGTAGGATCGAGTACTCGCGCACGAACTCTGGAAAACAAACTGTCATCTTGATGTCAGCATGAACTTCTTAGATTAAACAGCTATGTGCATTCCACGCAACATGAGGAAGTATATTTTCTATATTTACCGTTTATTGAAACCAAGTTGTCAGCCGGATTTTTCTTTACATTCGAAACTGTAAACGCCACATCTGGTTTATCGGTTTCTTTCTGGAATTCCATTCCACATCAGTACCGTAGTTGCTTATTTTACAAACAAAAGTCTTGAAAATTGATTGAAAACAAAGATGCTTGTATGCTAGACACAATTATAGACACTCGACAAGTTTTTAGTTCTAAGTCGTGCACGGATAATTTTCACTGGCAGACTGTTCGTGCCACGACCGGTGAGAATTTTCTCTGTCAGACCGTTCCAAAATATGGTTGGACGTTTTCACATCAATTTCTCTTTATCGTCTCTCAATATAACTGTATGGACAAATCATCCAACTTGGTAACAGGATGCCACTTATAAACGAAAGTTTCTTTTTGGTTTCGTCTCTCGAGTGAGGAGCAGCAGGTCAAAAGACCATTTCCATAAATTATTTGGTTTCCAATAATCCTCCCTCTCGTAAAAGCGGGACAGTCGATCGCGCAACAAAAAGAAATACATAAAGTAAGAAATGATGAACAAATAAATGAAAACGAAAAATAAATGAAAGAAACCACCCAATCGGTTGAGTTCAGGGTAGCCTGGCTGCAAAGGGAAAAGGCCTGGATACAGGCGAGCGTACAGAGGAAATTCCTTTAAAGATTCCTATCGGAAACGAAGTCTTGATTACATGCTTCCACATCAATTAAAGAATCTGAACTAACGTTAGCAAAAAAATTTGCTCACGAGATGGCATTTCTGGATATTTCGTTATTTAATTTTATTTTAAACTGGGAATGGCCAAACGTATGGAAAACGACCTTGGCTTTTGGGTTAACGCACTCCCAGATACCATAAGTAATTCTCCCTACTGTCTGTCATGCAATTGGGAGAATTTGGTATTGGATCAATTTATAATACCCAAATTGAAAATTTTCTTTATTCTCATCACTTGTCTTCTTGATATTGTATTAATATTGAAAGGAGAAATTCTTTCTTGGTCGCTAATGGGAGTTTTGGAAGGGTTAAGTCTATGCTATTGCCCTGCTCGTTTTTCTAAAAAAATCAATACGCAAGATTGAAAGAGACAAGAGGAACATATTGTGATATGCTCAAATTTAAAACTTGCGATCCACGAAAATAAACCCTCGACCTAAAGAAGGTTCACCCGCGGCTCACACCAATTTACCCTATCTGTTTTGTAACACGATTTTCAGTGATGGAAACAGACACGGTTTCGGTGGAGCCACGTTGGAAACGTGACTTGGAGTTACTTTGTAAAGCCCCGAGAGTGGCGAGCAACTTTATCACCTCATCTCTAGAAAAATGTTTTTATAGGTGAGTGACTTCAATTTTACTTTCAATCACAGGAACTGGGATCACCAGGCATGGGTGGGATAGAATAGTACTCAGAGTGAAATAGAACAATAGAGTTTAAATATGTTTTAGGCCCGACTCAGACTCACTTTAGCCTGAGCCGCAAGGCGAGGGTTAAAATGAGTCTGAGTTGGGCCCAAACCGCACTGAGTCATATTTAAACTTTGACCCACGGTATGGGCGTAATCTTTTTTCCCTGGTAATCTGGCATTATGACATAAGCGTATCATCAAAACTGTTTATACGGGCTGGCTGAAAAGTCGTGATTCTAACCGATCATTGCAGATGATTAGATCGTTTGAGTTCAAGATGTCCAATTGTTTGGAGCACTTCACATAATCCGACTTCCTCAGCCAGGGGTGCTAGTTGTGCAATTTAACGTCTTACCAGACTTGACATGTTCAAATGATCTCGGTAGTCGTACTTATTGATGTGTTATGTGTAATATGTGATATGTGATATGTGATATGTGATATGTGATTTGTGCTTACATAAACAGATTGGGGAAAGTAGTCGGCGGCAGTCCATGGATCACCATTTTTATTTCATTAGCTACTTGCGGAGTGTGCCTCTTAGGTGTTCTCAAATTTACAAAGGAGAATAGAGTAGATAAGCTTTGGACGCCACAAGATTCGACCGTCCAAAGACACAAATTATGGATACAAAAGAACTTCCCGGCACAGATGAGAGTGTCTAGTGTGCTTCTTGTGGCCGATAATGTCCTTACCCCCGAGGTTATGAAAGAGGTAAGTAATCAGTCATTGTCGACCACTGCAAATTAGGCGGAGAATTCCTCGACAGAAGATGTCTGCACTGCCCAAGTCATGGTGAAGTCAAATGGCGTGGATAAATTTGAATGTATGAGAGGATACAGTAATCCTTTGAATCTCCTCGAAGAAAGCTTTGTCGTACACATCATAGATATAACCTGCGTAGCTGGCAATTTTGTCTGCGCTATGACAATTAAGCGGTGAAACCACGAGAGGCTTGGGACGGAAGAAGTTATGTTCCCCTTCCGGCTTCACTACTCATCTCTTATCGCAAACAAACCGTGAAGCCTACAAAAAAACCTTCAGCCACGTAAGACATCATAAATATTTTGAAAGTACCACAAATTTTCCTTTTTTATTTCATTGCTTTTTTTTTACAGGCTTTAATGGTCTATGAGAGGGGAACAAAAATTGATCAAAAGACTAAATATTCCTGGGAGAATATATGTTTCAGGTAGGTAGAGGATGCAAGGTAAAAATGCCGAACTTTTAGGAAGGGGGGGGGGGTGAGGGGGAGGCATAAGGCATCGTAGGGTTACCCCTTGGTATTTCGTCGGTTTCTCCCCAGACACTGTTTGCCCGGTCGCTAGTCTGAGGTCTTCCACCTCAGATCAAAAACGTAAAGAAAAGACAAATTTAACGGGGTACTGACATTGTTTGAAATGTTTCAGAATTGGCCCGATTTGTTTAAAAAGTGGTTTGTTGGAGCTCTGGTCTTTTGACGAAGCTGTAATAAACCGTCTCACAAGAGAAGACATTTTGGAAAAGATAAACCAAAAAGTTATAATAAGGTGAATATAAAACATATACAAGTCTTTATGTCATACACGTCTTTATTTCTATGGCGATTAAGAAAGTTTTCATTCACCTCAAAGGTGAGTGGGCCTGACTTTACCAAACTTGATTTTAGACACAGAATTACGCCTTGTGCTGACCAATACGTGAAATGAGCAGAGTTCAAATACTTTTTTACCAGTACTGTTATTATTGTTGTTATTGTTGTTATCACGATGTGGTAATTTTCAATTGAGTGTCGAAAGTAATCCGGAATTGCTTTGGTTTTGCTCTTCTTTACTCTGTGATTGGTCCACAAAACTCAAACCACTCTCTCAACCAATCAGGTGCAAAGCTAAAACCAGTACGACTTGCACTGGTCACCCGCGTTTTCCCGCGCTTTAGGCAGTTTGGTTGGTTTCACTTTGAGTTCTCATTGGCTCTTAATAGTATTTTACTTTCTTCTGATTGGCTGTAGTGATTACTTGGTTTTGGTTTCACGACACTCATCGAAAAGCGCTCCATCTTTATCATCTCTTAATTATCATTATTATCGTTATAATATAATAATAATAGTATTTATTGATTTGTATTGCGCAAATATCAATCCAGGAAAAGAAATTTTCATCTGCGCATTATATTGACTCAACAAAATCCTAAAATCCCTTTTAAAATCATTTTAATTCAAGAAAAATAACTAATTAATCCTTAAAGTCCTATTTAAAAATCGTACCAATAATTTGTTAGAAAATAATAAGTCTAAAATTCTAAAAACGATGACTGATGATTCTGATCCGGACTGCAATGAGTTGTTGATGATTTTTGTGAGAACTGGGTGGAGATCCTCACATTTGCTAACCGGTGTGGATGGCATAGGGTCAAGAGAGAAGGATTTAAGGGATGCGTTGTGGATAAGCTGTTGAACATCTCAAACTGATAGCATCATAAAAGTAGGGAATGATAGCACAATGTCATCAAGAACAGCAGGCGGAGTACCATCTTCTGGAAGTAAATCAGTCTGCTGCTCGGTGTCAAGCTGCGTGCGGATCGTATCGACCTTCTGAACAAAGTATTCCCCCAAGTCGTTAGAGAATGTTCCACTGTCCAGATTAGGTGTGAGGCCATCATCTATTGTGCGGTTCAATAAGCGCTGACTTGCGCGGAGTAGTTTCTTTTGATCACCGCTGTATTTGTCTATAAAACTTCTGTAAAACTCCCTCCGAGCCTTGTTCATAAGACGGGTAATAAAATTACGTTCTGCTTTGAAAAAAGCAAGATCGGAGTCAATCGAGATTTCCTCCACCTCTTTACAGCCCTCCTTCGTTGACGCTTCGCCTCCGTGATCTCCTGACTGAACCATGGAACACGAGGTCTCTGAACGATCGTTCTTGTCATTAACGGCGCGTGCTTGTCTAAAACAGCCGTGAGGGTATTGTTATAAGCTGAAACAAGTTCCTGTGAATCATTAGGCACAACTCAGAAGTAGCCAAGTCCGTATTCAAAGAGACCACGCTGACTGATTGCAATTTTCGGTCGAAAACTTTCCGCATTAAAATTGGTGGCCTATCATAGCGGATGAACAATACGCGGTGTATTCCCAAGTAACTGATCAGATTGACGTGTGATGATCAAGTCATTGGTGTGGTCGTGTTTACGAGTAGGACTTGTAACATGCTGTTGAAGTCCATATGACTCCAGTAAATCGATCAGTTTTATGGCGTCAGTGTCCACTGCATTATCCAAATGAATGTTAAAATCCCCAGATATTAAGAGTTGTTCCTGGCACAATACTACAGACTCTAAATAATCAGCGAGCTCCGAAAAGAATGTGCTGATGGGAACCTTGTGCACATCGAATAAAGTGGTTGATAGAGTATGATGACGCGGAGAACAATCAACTCAGAAAACTCAAAAGATTCTTTCTCGCCAGCAGTTATCTTTTTCACATGAAGTGAGTCTCGGTGAAGAAGAGCTGTTCCGCCACCAGTGCGATCAGTGTGTGCATGGTCGCAAAGCTTGTAACTTGGAGGACACAACTCATTCCTAACTGCATCGTCATTTACATTTAGCCAAGTCTCTGTGATTGCAAGCATGTTGACAAATTATCAACCTGTTGAGTTATGAGCCAATAATTAATGTCGATATTTGAGGGCAATTTGCGATTTAATAACTATCAACAGTTTGTTGAACATCGCAGTCACTGAAAAGAATAATTCGCTATTAAGGAAAATTTGGAAAAAAGTGAGATTTTTCATACCGAAACGTAGATTTCAGTTGATATTGCGATTTTAGAACTACTTTGTTCATGCTTGTATATTTTTCAAGTATGAAGTTTTCTTTTAAAGAGTTTTTCTCTCTTTCTCTTTTTTTTTCTTCGTAATTTTGTAGTCCAATGACCAGAAAAAAGTTTGATTTATCAAAGTGCATTGGGGGAATCAAGAGGAACTCGACAGGACACGTGGTTGCTGCAGAAGCTACATCTCTTTTGTTTGGAATCAAATTCAATCCAAAACTAAATGCAAAGGAAGGACGTTTGGTGGGTTATTATACACTTCTTTGTTATAGGTGGTGAGAGATACAGACGTATACTTAAGTCATTACAAAACGCACAACCATTATTTTACGTTAGACTCGTACCCCTGTTGATTTAACTTTTATCCCCTTAAATTACAAGAACAGGTAATTAAAGATTAAACCTTTTGCTGTTCATCAGCAGAAAATATACCTTCATTTGTGCGAGTAGTTTAACCAACAGCGCGATAATATTCTCATTACACCAAAGATCATTCATTTAGACAAAAGTAGAATCATTAACGATTTTAGTATGCACAGTAAAATTCGATAGCATTAACTTTAACAGACAAGCGTCTACAGAATTTGACATGGATCAGCTCCTGGGTACTCTCATTTGCACAAGACTCAATTAAACTCCATGAGAATAACCTAGAAACATTTGGGCCAATTGCCGAACATCATCGAGTTTTGCATAAACATCCACGTTCTACTAATAAATGAAACATTTTCACAAACATTACGTTCTGTAAGTGGTGTAAATGAACTTATGTAGGTCCACCTTATCAGTCGAACTACTCTATACTTTCCTTAAATGAACAACAAAAGGTGTGATAAAGTCGAAATATTTCTTTACAGGAGGATAAGGTGGTCGAGAAATGGGAAAAAGAGTTCAATAAACTGATGGACACGACTAAAACAACTAATGCGAAGCTTTACTACATGACAGAAGTTAGGTATGATTTTTTCAAACTTGTTGCCAAAAGTTGCAAGTTTTCCCTGTTGTCTGGTACATCATAAGTTATTAATTAAATTCCTCCTTTCAATATACCAAAACGTGGTCGAATTTTAACTCGTGAGGCGCGATTATAATGTCTTTTCAGTCGCTCAAAGGTGATTACCGCTGGCTGATCACTTTGGAGCCAACCAATCAGAACGCGTGAAAAGCTCTATTCACCTGTGTGGTATTTTCTATCAGACCGTATATGAGGCTTTAATAACACTCTGTAGGACTCTCCTCTTCTCGTGCCTTGTAGATATAGAGAAGATGCAGACAAAAGTATACAAGACGACATTGTTCTGCTTTCTTGTGGATACATCCTTGTTATTTTTTATGTTTCTGTAATGTTGGGAAATTTCAGTCGCATGAATACCAAGGTAAGTGTTTCATCCTCTGATTTCTGTCTATCATCTTAGGCACGCTTTAAATATGGTACAAATCCGGTTAGATCCTCTGGACGGGGTACCCAAATTGATGATAAGGATAATTAACCCTTTCAACCCTAACATCAGTATGCATATTCTCCATACTGTTCTCTATACATTTCCTAAGGTGCTGACAAGGAGAATTTGTTAAACAATCAAGAGCTTCTTGAGTTGGTGATCATTTCCTTAAGTCTCGCGATGTCAAAGTGTGATTCAAGGATGATATTGTAAGGAGAAATTAGATGCCAGTCAATCTCAGGGGTCTGATGGTTCAAGGCTTTTAATGGAGCAGTGTAAAAGAAAGTGAATTCGATTAGAAAAATTATTTTCTACTGTGTGAAAAGGAGGCAACATTCGGAGGAAAACTTTTTGGGCCCCTTAGCCAATTTTGGAGTTCAAAAGAAAGCTAACATCCTCTTAATAGGGTCTCCAGTATGATGGAATCTCTAAAACAATCTTCAATTCATTTTCTTATAACCTGCATACAGGTTTGGCTGGCGATATTTGGGGTTCTTTGCGTTGCTTTATCCATCGGTGTGTCATTTGGAATAGCAAGTGCATGTGGAATTTTCTACGGTCCAATTCATTCTACATTACCTTTCCTTTTACTTGGTAAGTGTAGCTAGATGTGAATGGTGGCATGTGGATATACAATGATCAATTTTGATGGCGAGCTCAACACTGATGGTTAATTTAAAAAAGATATGGGTGAAGAGCAACAAAATCTCAAGCTGCATGAATTTCTCTTCGTTTCTCAATGGTTTAATTCATATAAAATTATATTGGTGAAGTATTTCTTTAGGCCTTTTCACTCCCAAGAGTGAAAAAAAAGGAATTTACCTTAACGATATCTTTACATTTTCAAGCAAAAAAGTGATTCGAGAAACGAAAAGTATCAACTCAATGGGTGAGCTTAAATGATAGGAAGTGGACGGGAGACATTGAATAAAATTGATATTGAGATATTATGTGTGAAAAGGTTAGAATGTTTGTTCGCAGGTATTGGAGTAGATGACATGTTTGTGATCGTTCAAGCTTGGAGCAACTTAACACCAGAAATATGTCAGACCCAACCGATACAAGAACGAATTGGACTTGCTCTGAAACATGCTGTAAGTTGTAAGAGGTTGAAATCCTGCAACAAATTTTTTGAATAGTAATGTACACTTCCTAATGGTTTACGGTATAGTGGCCCGAGTGGAATGATGAACGGAAAGTTTGTAAATTACGAGTCGCGGAAGAGTGATCAACAAACTTGGTGCACTCTTCTTTCAAACAATCAGGGCACGCGAATAAAAAAAAAAGGTATCCAAAAATGAGATAAAAAAGATAAAAACTGTGCGTTACGTAGAGTCAGGAAGCAGTTCCTAATTCAATCAGTGCCGAGTTGCGCATGATTGCATCAATTCAGCCATACTATGTCGCTGTCTTGTTTCAGGGATGCTCAATCACCATCACAACTTTGACGGATTTTCTTGCCTTTCTTATAGGATCAACTACGGTTTGTACTAAAATGTATTTAAGGTATTTGTAGTTTTAATTGGTCTGGTTTTTCCTGGTCTGCTTTGCAGCTATTTTAAGGGATGTAATTCAACGCTCCTTCAGGAGGGGGATAGGTTGGGAGGGACGTAAATGCCAAGGGAAAATGACACGATACTCTTCTCCTTATCAGTCGACTTTTTTAAAAGCCTCTCATATGTTCTAAATCACAATTCAATAAGCTAATGAATGTGCGGAATGAAATTTCTCCAGGTTCTACTTTAAAAAGAGATTGAGCGAACTTCTACCGTCGGTTTTCGTAATCCATTGTATTTTTTACTTTTGCAATGTCCGCACCTTTTCTTCTTGTCTTTTAAACCTCCGTGTTTCAAAGTCTCACATGACCGTGATTTTGTTACATTTTACTGCAGATTTTACCAGCACTGAGATCATTCTGTATTTATGCGGCAATAGGTAAGTTATTTTACCCATACTCAGGGGATTGGATAAGGAATCGACCAGGTAAATAAGCAAGATCCTACATCAGCACCTTATATAAATTAGTGAACATGTACGTCAAGTGATCATCACACTCTTTTTAACTTTCCATACCTGAAAGCAGGTCAAATGGCTGCCTAGAACTACTAACATTTTCACCTTTCAATTTTTAAGAACCTTTAGCTCTTCATAAAAAGAGCAAGATGACGTATACCTCAACATCCTAGAGATATTTTGCTCAATAGGGCACGAAAAGATTGACCCATACCGTTTGTAACTTTTGTATGTATTACAATAGGTGTTTTGGCAGACTTCATCCTTCAAGCTACTTTGTTCACAGCGTTATTGGCGATCGACGCGCGCAGGTAACATTCTGGTCGTAATTGTTATCTCTCACGTTAAGTTAGTGAAATCAGATTTGCTAACGTTGAAACAAGCCCCGTAAAGAAAATAGTTTAACTTCACCTTTTAAAGGTCTGAGCCAAGTTATCCTGATAAAGGAGCGGACAACGCTATCCAACGGATAAATCGCTATTCGGTGGATTAGTGATAGCAAAACCACCGGATAGCGATTTATCCGTTGGATAAGTGATAACAGAACGCACTACGTTGTCCACCGGGTAGAGATTTATCCAGTGGGTAGCGATATCCAATCTTCGAACAACCGGAACCTGTACATTTACCTTCCGAACATTTGGATGAGCTTCTTCACTTTTTTCAAATTGCAAATTATTACTGTATCACTTACAAGGTGCTTTTCCCAAGATAATATCTTTTGAGCTGATCATCCTTACGTGATCGTTAAGGAACAACCAACATTCATGTCATATGTAAGGGGCAATAATGCTTGTTATTTGGTCAAGAGAAAATATGCAATCATTTTAATCAATCATACCCATACGTAAAATTAATCATGCTTTCATCTTTACCTTATCCGCTTTTCGGCAATTTGCAATTTTTTTTCGGTCTGAATTATCTTTATAATATTCTTGTAGTAATACATATATTATGTTACAAAACTTCCAATTTAGAACTAAGTTACATTGTACGTACTAATTACAAAGCTCATTATTTTTAAATATTAACAAAATACCAGTTACAAAGCTAGGTCATATTTAAAAATTAGGTGATTGAAATAGGAGTTCTTCTCTCGATCCGTGTTTAATTTTGGCAGGTGACTAAATTTTTGTTCTAGATTGTACTCTGTGACCTTTAGTTTACGTATCAGGTTTCTCAGAGGATGTTTCTCTTGATGTTTTACCTTGTCGAATATTTTCCTATCCTGATTTTTTGATACACTAAAGATGTTAACCGCCCTAGATATGTATCTCCGCTTGTGACACCGGTCCAGAAAACATTGTACATTCGTAAGCTCTGCATTAACAGCACTGTAGACCGATGGACTATCAGTCAAATTAGGGATACCTAGACTTTGGTTTCTCGTGCCATCGTCCTCTTCTCTCTCTTTTATTTTGTTGAAATACATTCTTAATACCTCCCTTAGGCTCGAACATTTCATCCAGAACTGACTAAAAACTATTCCTGTTCTCTTGTTGATATAGGCAAAAGAAAAAAAGGGATGGCTTTTGCTGCTGTTGCATAACGTTACCAGATAACTATCGAGAGAGCTCCCTTGCAAAAAAAGATTTTCTCAAAACGAGCATAGACAAGATTGGAGCAGCTATGCTGTCTCTTCCTGGGAAGGTTATTGTGATCATCATAACAGGAGCCCTGTTTGGTTTTAACCTCTATGGAGCAATTATGCTAAAGCTGTCCTTCGATCAGAACCGCTTTTTGCCTCCTGACTCTATGTCCTACAAGTATACGTTTACCAACAGGAAGGTAAACTCGCAATCTTGGATAAAACTGTCTCTACATTTTCTGTCATTACTTTTCTCCCCTCTGTATCACATTATTTGGGAAACCTCAGTTCCCCTGCCTTAAAATCAGCGTTGCTTAGCTTACAGAGCCTACGTGTAGCTGTACCCTGCCCCGAAAGGTGAAACAGAATCGCTTCTGTTCACCCTAGGAGGGGAGAGGGTACGGCTACACGGGCTAAGCTTATAATATGTGTTCTCCCATTTCAACATTTGATGAGGGGAGTAGGAGAGGTGCGGGAGGAGGTAGGCATGTTTAAGATAATTAGGAGGTGTGAGCTACGTTTAGCTCAAAGTTAAATGTTGTCTCAACATGTTTTTTTTTTCCTTCCTTTTTTCACTTCCTACCTATTTCCTTCCTTTAGTTAACTTTGTAATTGAAAATTGGTCTCGAGGTTTGTCTTTTGAGAGTAGTGGAATGTTCTCAAGCAATTCTTTCCGATCATTGTTTTCAATTGGAATAATCGCAAAACGTTTTGTTCTCACATTGCAGTATTTTCCAGTAAACGGGGCCCCAGTGAAGATATATACAGGTACGCTTAGCAAGGGGTTTTTAAAAATTTACTTCTATTTTCTCTTAAAAAAATTCCAAGAGAACATTACAGTAAAGTGTTTCTTATTATGATCTGCTACATTTGCCTTGATGTTAGATCAAGTTTTTCTTAGCTTAAACATGGTCGCAAGTAAGAAAAAAACTTTGTGAGTTGAGGATCACTTTATCCCATTTTGCGTTTATTTTATTTGAAAAAGCCGTTCCCGCCAGAAGAGGTTTTTAGTTTCGCAATTGGACTTCAGAAACAGCAGTTACAAACATCAGTTTTCATTTCATGATTTTCCCATGGATTTGACTGCTGACTTCAATTTCATGAACAGGACTAGTACACAAGCGCATTATGTGGATCTGTTAACCATTTCTTTCCTCAGGAAAGTTCGATTACTTTAAAGAACAAGATAAACTTCACAGGGTCTACAAAATTGCAGTCAGTGACAAAAAATACATAGTTTCTAGTTCTATAACCAGCTGGTATGAAGACTTTGTTAGCTGGGCTATTGACAAGAAACCAGGAAAGTGTATCCAGAAAAGTAAGCATATGACATATTGAAAGCTAAACAATGATCCAAGTAATCAGAGGACAAGAAACTTTCCCAAACAGATAACAGTAATTTACTATGAGCCATACATAGAAAAAATTGATTATAAGAGGAATTAAAATTGTAGCAAAATTTTCGAACGTGATTGGTTATTTCAAGAGATTGTTAACAGTTTATATTCTCTTGGTTATCACCAACCCCATCTGAACACAAATAGGGGAGTGTACACGTCATGCCTATGTTATTGGACAATACGCATGATGTGCGCACTTGTTGCGCACTTGTTGCGCATTTCACCAAGTTAACTGTTGTTTTTCTCGGAAAACGCATAACTGACGGCCGGTTTTTTTCTTGAATTATGTCATAGTTTTGATTAATTTGTAACACAGATACAGAGCAGATACTGTCGGTTTACATTCTTGTTGACAGATGTGTTTTGTCACAGTGTAAAAGAAGTCTTATGTGAAATCTATGTTTTTATCTTTTAAGGGAGGATCACCAACGAGACATGTTTTTATCCATGGCTGGGCGAGTTCCTTCGTACTTCTGGTCTCAGTTATCAGAGTGATATCAGGACAAAAAATGGGACTGGTCAGCTTCCACTACAGATTCTGGTAATACTTAACCAATGTTGCTATACGTCTGTTCACTTATAGCTCACAGATGATAACAAAATGTGGTGAGAACAAAAATGTGGCACACGAGGCACAGCCGAGTGCCACTAATGGTCTTACCTCATTTTTAACATCTTCTGTGACTTATTTCTCAATGGACCCACAGCGACATGGAATCGGTTTGCTTTTTTATAAGAAAGAAGCAAGATGCAAGCAGTGATGACGTCATCTATGCATCCGTCCTCCAATAGATCATAAGAAAGAACAAATCAAAACGAACAGAACAAATCATATACGGTGAATAAGTTGTGGTATCATCTCCTTTGTAAATTGTTCTCGCAGATTGTCGCACACATCAAGTGCGATTGCTTTGTCAAAAATTTGCATATGAGGGGAAAGAATATGTTTTATTATGGATTATATATCGCGTTTCTCAATTCTCAAATGCCTAGTTTTAAAAGTCATTTAAAAACGTATCTTTTTAAACAAGCTTATAACTATTTTAAATTTTTTTTTATGATAGATGTGTTTAATTATCTTAGAATTTTTAACTTAGTTTATTGCTATATATTTTTTCGCTTTCCATTTTTTTTAGCTTTTTAATAATCTTTAATGTAAGGCGCCGTGGAAAATAAGTGGATTTGACGCTATATAAATATTTTCATTTATTTTCATTTTATCACGTTGCTCTCAGCTACAGTTGATTTTACATCCTCTCAGCCAGGAGGATGTTATCCATTATTCACATAAATATGCTCTCACAATAGGCATCTCAGATACGCTTGAGGCACAGAAACTTGGACTCAACGCGAGAAGAAGTGAAAGCAATGGAGAATTTACGAGACAAGATTAAAACCGTGTTTCCAAATGACAGCCTTGGATTTCCGTTTTCACCATATTACTTTACAAGTGAAACAAATAAGGTACACCTTTTTGGCTGAGTGTTTTGCACATACAGTGACACCTTCATCAAGCAGACCGTACATAAAAAGAAACTTTGAATACCAGCCTCAGCAACTCCCAATTTTTCCCCTTTTTTTCTGTTGAATGAACCACAATCTCTTCTCTAGTTCAGCGAACATACAATAGCAGGGGTTCGGGTACTTTCTGCTCAAACATTTATCCATATATTTAATTATGATAAGATTCAGTTAAGACTCACGACAGTTTGGGTTTAACATTTTCTCAAAATGTGACTTCTTCAATTCTTTTGCCTAGGTTCGTGAACACAAGTAGGCGGTCAAACTGACTTATCACTTCCATATCATGAATAGCCCTTTGTATATCAGGAAAGCCATGGTTGACATTGTTATTAAATTATACGGCAAATGCTTCATTAATTTTCATGGCAACACCGAATGTTGATTTGAAATTCATTTTTAAATCATCTTGTACTCCTGAAAAATTGCAGGGGTACATCGCTGTGTAAACTTGCATGCCAGTAGTTAAGTGTATAAGCAGAGTGATTTGTTTTCATTTATTTAGATTATTTCAACGGAGCTTTACCGAAACATGGGCCTGGCACTTTTAACAGTATTGGTGGCTACTCCTGTTGTGTTATCAAGCTTGAGGACATGCTTTTTAGTCTTTTCCTGTGTTGGATTTACATTGGTGAGTTGTAAAATTGTCTTGTTAATGATGTTGCAACATTGTCATTATATTTAGCTGTAGATATATAACAAGCAGTAGTGGTTGTAGTAGCAGAAGTTGATGTTGTTATTGACAATGATAATGATGATGATGACTTTGATAGTGAGGGTAACAAAGGTACTTAAAATGGTATTAATAAAATGACGAAAATTCTTAATTGCTATTGAAACAAGTGGTTACTAAGGGGAATTCGAGAACTTTTATTTTGTTTGTCGAACAAGTTTCTGAGAGGTCAACCAATCGCTCTGACTAACGCTCGAAATGTCAGCCTTTAAACTCTTTTGGCCAATTTACGTTTCCAACTCAGTTTTTACACTAAATTACCTGTTAGAGGTTAACTATGACTATTTTCTGTTACCATAATGGACTTAAAACACTTTGGCCATTTAACATTACTTTTAAAAAAACAGGTTGGAATAATGGGAACAATCCATTTCTGGGGTCTGACAATTGATATTGTGACTACCATGTTCCTTGTGTTGGCCGTTGGATTGTCTGTGGATTACTCATCCCACATTGGACACACTTTCATGATAACATCTGGTACACGAAAAGGTAAGTTCAGAAAAACAGATCCAAAAGGTAAAGGTAAAGACATTACATTTAAATGTGGAAAAGCAAGGTTAAGTACTGCTTTAGATAAATAACGCCCAAACAAAGTCACAGACACACCACTGACACACCACCGACGCATCTTGAACGTTTTAAGGCCAACATGTCGACCAACGCGTCGGTCGACAGTCGACCGATATTGGTCGACGCGTTGGTCTGTGCGTTGGTAGGATCGGATTCTTTACCTTTACCGTTTAACTCTCGAAAGTGGTTTACATGTTCCTTCTTCCTGTATTATCCAGGAAACAAGTGATGAGAATACTCAAACTTACCAACTAACACCAATTTCTCTTCACTAAATTACAAGGAAATGTGTTGCAGCTAAAGCGGAGAATTAAGAATCAGATCTTAGGAGTTAAACAGTTAAACCACAGCATCAGTGAAATTTTTTTTGTTGAAAAAATTGGGTCAGTATCTTGGTCGGTTAGTTCACTTTGGTTAATTGTGAGCGTAACTTTAAACTGATAGAGGAATAGTGTTAATTTTGTCTCGTTTTGCCACTCAAATCACGACAGCCAAAGAGGGAGGCAGAAGTGTCTTAGGCCACATGTGAGCCACAATCTTGTCGAAAAAAGTGATAACTTCTCTCTATAATAAAAATATTACATGTCTCAAACTCTAGACACTACAAGAAAATCCTGCAAGAACCTTGATTAATGACTTTTCCGTGTCCCATGTCTTCTATAGGTTTAGTCAATATTGTGCTACCTGAAGTCTAATGCCTATAAAATAATGTTGGCTCTGACTTAGTCCATCGAACAGTAATTTTTGAGAACTTTTTTGCTAATATTATTTTCTTTAAGAACGAGCGCTGACCACCCTACGTGACATGGGGCCTGCAGTTTGGAATGGTGGCTTTAGTACATACATAGCTGTTGGCCTTCTGGTGTATTCCAATTCTTATGCGACATTGACTTTCTTTAAGGTAAGAAATCAAAGTAATAACTTTCAATTAGAGCGCTTTTCGACTGAATCTCGTAATCAGAGCTTAAAAAAGATCAAAAGTAGCCAATGATGGCTTGGAGCAAAAAAGAGCAAACTTTCTTACGCAACAAAATGAATGCTAGCGACCAAGTCACAGTTGGTTTCCGTTTGCATCTGTTAGTTGAAAAGGTTGTGTAAGTTTCATAGGCCACAGTAGAGATCTTCGGAGGTAGAAAACACTAGAGCAATTTTGCCAGACAACCTTAGCCTCAAACTTGAATTCCCCAATTTGCCATTTTACAATTGTATACTAAGTTGCCAAGCCTTTGATTTGAAGTGAAGCTGAAGTTGACTATGATGTGAGGGAGACCAGTATTTAGTTAGCATGATAACAAAGTCATTTACATTTGAAAAGCAGCATGGTTTGTGTCATAACAAGGTCACCCTTAGCCTCCTGTTCAAAGGCTTGGCCACCAAGCACACAACTGTAAAATGGACCATTCTTATTGATCATCAGGTGTTTTTTTGTGTTGTATTTTATGGATTATTCCATGGCCTGTGCTATCTTCCCGTATTGCTCTCCCTGATTGGACCTTCCCCATATGATTCTTCTGAGGTCAACACAGAGGAGAGTCCATCATCCTCAAAGCCTGATGACAACACTGATTGTAAGGGAGCCTATTTCAATCCTTCACTAGAAACAAGCACAGGAGATCTGTTAAATGCTGGTGCTCATCAGCAAAAGTCCTCCCTCGTGTTAATTGAAGGTAAATGTATAAGAAGTGTTCACCATTGCAAGTTTTCAAAATCATCGGTGACCCTATATAATACAAGGCAGTTTTAGCTACTGACCACCTGATAATAGTATTTTGGATTATTTTCGTTACCTATGAGGAAATAAGCATCTGTATAGGTACTTAAATCTTTATTGAACCAAGAATCAAAGACTTCTGGCAACAAACCTTTGGTAATTGACAGCTTAACGGACGATTGACAGGTTGGGTATGGAGCACAGATAATTTTGAGATGCGTATAGTGATTGTAAATCTGCTATGTATTACATCAACCAATCAATCTTTTAACCTTCTTACCCTGTGGAACTTAATATCAGCTTTTTACACTCTGTACCAGTTAAACTCTTAAATTTCTAGTCTTTAACATTTGGAGTAAAATATAAAAAATGCTCGATGTAACTGATGTTTTCTATCTTCTCATTCTTAAATTTCAAGCAACCACTCATGTCTCAAAAATGTCTGTGCTTCAATGTCCTAATCAATTGTTTAGCCAGTATGCAAGGTTCTAATAGTTGCACTGGGAAGTCTTCCCATAATTCCCCATTGCACTCTTAAAGCATAACATTTAAAAACCTGGTGACTCTCAGTGTGCTAACATTTCTTTCTTCTTCTGCTAGATTTGGAAATGCCACAACGTTAGTTCCTGAGAGTGGATTAATAAAAGGAAAAGTAAATGAGGAATTTTTTGCAGACAACAACTATTGATGAATATGGAGTCTTGAAAGGAAAGACACATACATTATTTAATTACTGCAACTATTCAAATTTGTCAGCAGATCAAAAAGAATTGTTCTAGAATGAAAAAGGAATTAAGAACCTTGAAATTCTGTTCATCAGTCTATGACAACTAATATAATAAGAGCATTTAAAACATAATCATCTACTTGATGATAGTTTTTGTTGTAATTTATTACATCAATTTGTATTATATAGCTAGAGCATACTGCCATTGGGTTAATTTCTTTAAGCTAACTGTAGAAGGAAGATTAGATTAAAAAACTGAACTAACAACTGAGGGGATGAGTATTTTGCAATTGCTATATTCGCTTTATCTCACCTCCGGCTAATTTTAAACTTGTACAGTTTTCTAATGTTTTGGAACTTTTCTTTCCCTTTTCCCCCATTATTTGCAAATTATATGATTGTCTTCAAATAATATAAATTATTACATTTGCATAATCCATGCATTTGAGAATGGAATTTTATTGGCAGCAAAAACTTGTATAAACCTGAATTCTCATCAGGTGTTTTTTTTGTGTGTGTGTTGCGTTTTATGGATTATTCAAAGGCCTTTGCTATCTTCCTGTATTGCTCTCCCACCCTCAGCAGACCAGATTAACTTTTACAGGATGACATTAATTAACTTTCAATTGTTGATATTTTAATGAATCTATGATAATTAATGTAATAAAAGCATTTTGAACATAATCATGAATGTATTTACTGAACCATAATTTTTGTAATAATAAGATATATAAAAAAAACTACTCAATTCTGATTGGTTTAGATAAACGCAGTTTTCAGGTAATTCAATACAGAAGAGGGTTAATTCAGTGCCAAGAAGTAACAAACCAGACTGAACAATTCCTTGAACTGTTAAGCCAGACTTTGAACTTTTTTGTGCCTTTAAGATGTGAAAATATCATTGTATACTATTGTTTTGATCGTACGCGGTTGTTTTGACCGAATGCAGGGTTTGAACAAATTATTTTTTGCCCTTGATGTGAGCGTTTTGCCTCTGCATAATTATGGTAAGCTATCTCGCACTTTTTCATGTATATTGTAAATATGTAATCACATGATTTTTCTTGTGCAATTTGGAATAAATAAGTACTTGTAAAGTTTTTCAAAGACCACAAACTGCACTCGCCCTACGAGTTTATGCAATTTTGTTAGTCTTTGATAAAATTTACTCGTGCTTATTTATTCCAAATTGCACTCAAAATCATGTGATTACCTATACTAATTATAACGTCAACATGTATTGTAACAGTACATATTGCATGCTGTGTGGGTAGTGCAAGTACTTAAATTACCGATCAAATTGGAAAATCAACCATGCTGCTTTCTAAAGAGCTCTGACAAAGGTCTAACATTCGAAACATCAACTTTCAAACTCTTTAAAGCGGCTAATTTATGTCATCGACTCGGTTGATCATACTAATTTACCCAGTTAAAAGTCTAGTTCTGAAGTTTGGCCAAAAGGTTGAATTTGCAACAACTAACAATAAGTTTATAAAGTGGCAAGGTTGTGTATTGTAAATTGAAACTACCAGATTCATACTCCACTACTCTTTCAAAACAATTGGCTATATGTACACTGGTTTTGTTTTACAGCTGTTAAAATAATTATGTATAAAAAATAAATGACACTTTTTAATAACATGCTGATTGGACAAAACAAATAATAATGACAGAACAATGTATGCAATTACAAGGAGAGTTTAGCTATGGGCTTCCCTCTCGTTCCTGTTCTTATTAATCTCTTCATGGGACATCATGAAAAGTTATGGTTGGAAAATTGGCAGGGCTCAGAGGTATTGTTTTATCGCCGTTATGTTGAAGATACATTTTGTTTATTTCATTCAGAAAATGATGCTCTATTATTTTTCAATTACATAAACTCCAGGCACCCTAACATTAGGTTCACTAAGGAAAAGGAAATAGATCATAAAATACCATCCCTAGATGTTTTAATTAACAATGACATCATTTTCCTGTCACAAGTGTTTACCGTAAGAAACCCTTCACGGGCCTTTTGACCACTTATTTTAGCTTTATACCTTATCCTTATATTAATTATAAACTGGGTCTCATTCGCACTCTTGTTGATAGAACCTACAAGATCAACAGTACATGGTTGGGTTTCCACTAAGGTATCAAGAAACTTGCTGAAATCCTTAAAAAGAATCTTTTTACAGTCCATCTAGTTGAAAGGGTTGTCAATAAGTACCTCACGCTAACCTGTAATGAGTGTAATCCTCCGGTTTCCGTTTCAGACACTACACCAACTTTTTATTTCGAATCACCTTACATTGGCCCTTTTTCTGTTGTCACTCAAAAAAGGGTTCGCCACTTTGCCAGGCGTTATTGTAACAGCATAGGTATTAAGTTGGTTTTTTTCATCTTTCAAAATAGGTCATATATTTGGTATGAAAGACCCTACCCTCGTGGGCTATGTACGTGTATGGTTCACAAGTTTTAATGTGCAGGCTGTAATGCCTGCTATGTCAGTAAAACCTCTCGGCATTTATCCACATGTGTGCATGAGCACTTGGTCAGTGATAGGACCTCTCACATTTTCAAACATCTGCATAATCCTCCACAATGTCGCACTCTTTGTTCTGATGAGTGTTTTAGCATCTTAAATCACGCTTCCACAACTTTCCAACTTAAAATCTAAGAAGCTATCCACATTAAACGGGAGCAACCTACATTAAATCGTCAACTTTATCATGTTAATTTAAAACTTTCCTTGTAATTACATACACTGTTCTGTCATTATTGTTTGTTTTGACCAATCAACATTTTCTTATGCACTTTAAATTCAACTCTGTACCTTGAATAAATCGTTACATATCTGCTCCTATCCAAACCTTCTGGCAATTATGTATAACAAAGATACTATCAATGTCTGTCTGAAAATCTACTAAACAAACCCGATGGGATATATGTCAAGTATTACGAACCCGATCCCTGATGGAAGACAGAAAAAAAATTCCTTTCACACTTACACACTTGTAACATAATCAACTTTACTCACTGGCCGACGTCAAGAGAAGGAGAACTTTAAGAATCAAAAGGAAGATTAGAGTATATCTGTTCAAATTCCAGAGATTTTCATCAGAATTTTATAACCAGAAGTTCCAAATCCCAAAATCTACACACGAAATCTTGTAGTAAAGACCTCTATAAACACCACAGGTTGAAACACTACACGCGAAATCCCTACAAAAGTACATTCGAGAAGTAACTTCACGGTTCATGATTTGAGACATTTTACATTCTCTAATCGCGCCTGTCGAATTAATTATAGGTAGAAGCCTTCAGGCACGATGATTTAGACAGCTTAGGTCAGACTCACTGCCTTCGCTGACAATGCAAGCGCTCGGATGTTATGTCGCAAAATATCAGCTTGACTGCAACTATCTTGGTGGCTTTAGAAACAATATGGTAAGTCTGAATTTAGATATCTGCATGACATAACCAGTAACCAGTATTCTTTAAGGAATATCGACGATTTCCTTTTTTGAGTCACATTACGAAATTTGTCAATTTGACATCTTAGAAAAATCGTAATGAAAGCTAGAAAGCTTGAATGCCCTTGGAAAGGACAGCACTATTGATTGAACACAAGAGCGGACTCCGTTTCTGCGAACAGTTAGGGAAAAAAGCGAAGTGGCAAACCTCCCAAGTACTAAAAATTATTTAGACCCCTCGCGACCAAACTTTTCTTTATAATAATTACATTCTTTATACAGGAAGTCGCCTCATCAAAAGGTGGTTTTCAGGCGAGTCCTGTTTTTAAAATTAAAATCGAAAAACTAAAAACTATAATAATAATTACACTAAACTTAATAAAATGGAGTTAAAAACTGCAGTCTCTCAAATTGCACTAAACGTGATGAAAGAGCTTAAAAACTCGGCAAAGTCTCTCAAATTACAATAAGAATTGTGAGATGGCGTTTTTTAAACTGTTAACAGTTTCATTGTTTCTACCTTCTACTAGAATTTCATTCCATTCCAAACAAACAGGAAGAGTGTAACTGACCTTTACTTCTACGAGATCTATCAATTCTCAGGTCGCTGGCATGACGAGTTTGATAATTATGAATTGAGGAGCCGATGTTAAATTGATAATTATGATCTAAAAATCACAATAGTCTGTATATGACTTTATCACTTTAGCCATGTAGTTCCTCCGCTGAGACGAGTGAAGCATGAGTTGTGAAACCGAGCATTTGTTATCTTAAGAATGCTAGATTTCCAACAAGCTCATAACACGGAGGCAATGATCTTTGTTCCGTGCTCTGGCGACTGTTTGATCAATTAGGTAAGATTTATTTACTTTGGCTTTCAAAAGAAAGTTCGAGTTAAAATGAGCTCGTATTTTTTTCTTTTCTTCACGCCGCAAATCGAACCCTGAACTCTTCATCACGTGTGCAATGTATGAGCATTCATGAAAAAAGTAAATGGACTTTCTGCAAAGCAAAGGAATTTTTGCAAGAGGACAAAAAGTGAAGCGACGCTATCTTTAAATTCTGTTGAATTGTAGGGCTTCTAAACACAGATAGCTTTATCAACTTCTGTGATAAGCTAAATTCGGAGACAAATACACAAGCTAACAAATCGAAAAGGGCACATTTTTGAACGGATCAGTGCATAAACTTCAACGAGGGACCAATTTGCTTGGTTCGGTGTGTTGTCTGTCTACGGTCTTCCAAGTATTACGAACAACTGAACTACAGAGTATCTCTGATCAACACATGAGCTCTTGGGTTACTGTACTCTTGTTTTTAAATTTTTCCTATTCATTGCGTTTATTGAGTTCCTCGTTTTATCATTATCTCCATGGTAACGTTCATAACATCTAAATGCGTGAATAGCTCGAGCTGTTACTTTATTTTTTATGTATAAACA